GCCTGGCGGTAGACCCTTTTCCCAAATAAAGTTCCTTAGAAATAAAGGCAAAAAAAAGGTTATAATATCTATTTGTCAAACCCTAAATCATATGTTAAATTATTATTTAAGCTTAAATTTTGTTTCTAGAATATACTTGATGCATAGGCAGAATATGTCATTAGTGTGGGGATTAATGTCAACTTCTCTCAATTAATGGTTGCTAAGTAAAACTCCGTAGGTTAATTAGTTGAGTGGATTGCAACTAAGTAAAAGAGTGGGGGATATGCAATCCACATTATCTACTGTCAAAGCAATGTGGGATCTACTGTTTAGAAAAAGTGAGGGACAAAACAATGTTTCCTGAACTGCTACAAAAAGTGGGACGTGGAAAAGGCAATACTTTACAAATTTTGATCTGATTTTTTCATATACCAAAAAGAGTTTGGTACTGCCCTGCTTAATTAACAAATAACGAGTTTTGAGTCGTCAGGACAGTGGTACACTTTCCATCCACAGATGACTGTCTTGAATTAATTCTTTTTTCTTTCTTCTGCTACCTCAAAAGAGGAAATTTCATGTTCAAAATCAAGATGAAGTAGTCCAAACCTCAGAAAGAGCGGAAAGTAAGTGATTTGTTGGTTAAATGTGCTCTATAAATTTTTTATAACAACACAATTAAAAAATAAAAATAAAAATAAAAAACTTTAAACTCTATACTCTATACTTTAGAAATAATTCGCTAATTAAATAATCATATGTGAGGCCGCGATGAGGATAGTTTAGGGATGGTAACATTTAGTTTGTGAATTTGTGATTGAACATAAAAAATTACATTTAAAATAAATTGAACCCATGATTGACAGACACAACTTTTCATTGATTTTGACTGTTTATATAAGGGATTCGCAATTATGTAAAACTATAATTTCTTATAAAAAATCATCATGGAGTTTGTTTACCCCCGGCCAACTGATTGATATGTGCATCACACTTTTAGGATTTTAGCCTAACTATAATAATTAGTTGCAGGGTGAAAAATGTTAACTATAGGCAAGGGTTTCATAGCATCTCGATATCAAAATGTCCAAATCAGTATTAACAGTAAAAAAAAGACAGTAATAATGTTTTCCAATAAAAAAAGCCAAATAAATATGATATGACATGAATTGGCAGCTCTCACCCTTGCAGCCAATATTTGTCGGCATCTCCAATTTCTTTAATTAATTATCAAATGCATTTTATTAATTTTATTATTGTTTTTTTAACATTTATTATAATAGTTTAATTTAACATATTTGGTGGAGAGCAAAACCTTGAAAGATGTCAAAGTGTCGCATAGGTTATCAAAATTATATTTTATGTTTACAATTTAACATCTCATTTGAAGACGCTTTAGAAGTCATCTAATTTTGACATGCAACCATTGATCACTCAAACAAGTAAATATCCACCTGCTTTGAATTTGCACATATATGACAAATGCCCTAGATAATACCATGCCATTTCTTTAAATAAAATGTCACGAGTTTAAATCATGTCATCCCTACCTATTACTTATCTTTTCTAAGAAAATAATTCATCATGAAATATATGATCCATGCACATGCCACTCAAATGTACCTTCTCTCCATTGTGTATATGAAGTGATTTTCCACAGTTATAATGTTAATTTCAATTTAATGAATTAATTTATTTGAATCTTTCTTTCTATTGGGAAAAAAAAAGTTTTAAAAAGTTTTAAGTTCAAATTTTCTCTCTTCATTTCAACATCTATTGACACACCCGATCCGGAAAGTCCATTTGGACTTTAAATCGAGTTATGCTGGCCAACACCAAGAGGGTGACGAAACCATAAAGTATAGTGATGTGGAAAAAATGTGAATAAATTTAAATCTAAAAGTGTCTAAATACGAGAGTGCGTTGTGAGCGGAAATGAACCTATTTTTCACGTGATGTCAGAGTATAAGTAAAGTACAGTAGAGTGGATTGAGAGTCATACCATTAAAGGTAATCTCCAATACCAAGATTTTCCCCGAATCCTCGTCGATAAGAAAGCTCAGCTAAAAAAAACCTGGAGGGTGGAAACACAGTAAGGGTGAGTGGCCCTAGAAATAAAATTTTAACAAAAACCTTTTAAATCGTTATAACCCCTCGCTGTAACACCTTATAGTTTAAAAAAATCATAACACGTATCAATGTAAAATCAAAAGTATTTCAACAGTAAATCCATAAATATACCACGACACAACATCTCATGAGCAATATAAATAATTATGTGCTCAATAAATCAATGCTAGCACATAAGTCGGAGTCACCTATAGTGACATGTACGACTCATCCATATCTCATCAATCAATGCTAGCACATAAATCGGAGTCACCTATAGTGACTTGTACGATTCATAGACAACCTGTACGATAGTGTCGGAGTTGCCTATATAGCTCATCTACCAATTCATGCACACGAGTCGGAACCACTTAATGTGGTCTGTACGACAGGCTGGGTGTAAATAAATATGCTCAAGTGCTACGATCATGTGAAGGCTAGGCCCTGTCCTTGGGCGGAGCACTAACACCGAGGTACAAGATAATGATCATTAAATGCATAAAAACATAACCATACACATTGAAATCACTATCATTAACATGTACTCACTTGAAGCTTACCAGGGCATCCGCAGTGTCATTTGGCATAACCACTTTAACGTCCCAACATTCTTAATCGGAACTAAACCCAGTGATAGACCAGAATAAAATCATGGTTAATCTCTACGCTGTTAACCATCATAACTTATTTCCTTAAAGAAACCAAGTACCATGTTAAATTTGGATTGTTTTATGGTTGTATCTAACTGTCTTGTTAGACTACCTGGGATCAAGCCATTCGTAGTTCAACTTAGTACTTCAAAGTATTCATAGTAATTATATGCCGATAATATGCATATAGATATACCATAATACAATCTAATATTCAACCATACCATAGTATTTTAACACACACACACATATATATATATATATATATAACATGGCATAAAATGCATAGAACAATTTAAAAGTATTTGTGGAATTATTAGTCATATTTATATACGATAAAAGGAAAAGACCCACTCACTTGAGGCCCGCGCTACGACTCCCTAGCACGAAAATCGAGACATCACGAACCATCGTCGCCTATAACAATTATCAAATCACATCTCAGAGTTCTCATCGATAAAACACGTAACTTACATAAAACATATCCCCAAGGACGTTCTAGAATGATTTGGGACCCATTGACCAAAGTCAATCGTCGGTCAAAGATCGACGGTAAGGTCCACAACCCTACGTAACTCGATCCAGAAGATCTGCATCTCAGATTTCTGATCCGTAACTTCCAAAGATCCACATTGTGCTTCTAAAACATCATACTAAAGTTTCATTACTATCCAACGGTTAGATCTCCTCCAATTGCCAATTCAAGTGGTGGTCAACGTTTTATTTTACGAACTTACAATTCCAATTTGGGAAGATCCGTACATCAGATTCCCAGTCTGTAAGTTTCTAATATCCTCAAATATTACGTACTATAATTTATTAAAATTTAATGACGATCCAACGGTTAGATCGTCGGTTGCTGTAATAATCAAGTGGCGGATCATAATGGGACTAAGTTCAAATGCCAAAATTTTGTCAATCAGACTTCACAAATGGAACCAAGGTATTCAAATTTAGCCTAGGAAGGTCGGGGGACCCCTCGGCCCACGCGCCGCCGCAGGTGGCGATTGGGCGCCCTGACTTGCCGAAAAATTCAACTGTTTCTAAAAATTACCAAAATCCACTAAAATGAAGATCTCAAAGAGAGGAATAACTTTCATACATGCCACGAAGTCCAAAAGTGGACGGAAGATAGTCAATTTTGCCCACAAAGTCGTCAGGTGCCTAAAGCTTCCCGGCGTCAATTCGTCGTTTACTGTGGTCCAACAGGGTCAAGGTTGGTTGGGATTTTCTCCTGGGATGATGGGCTACAAAGCCCAAGTGGTGGCATTGACTATTGCTTTGCCGATTCGCAGGAAAATTGAAATGAGTGGCTGGACATGGTTTTGACTCGTCGGATTTCGTGGCTTCGCCTCGCCACATGTGGTTTATAAAGGTGATTCTTGGTTGGGTTTTGTAGAGGGGAATGAGAGCTTCACGATGGTGGTGGTGGTGTCGAAAAACTCCACCGGAGTTGGTCGGAATTGACCCCGGAAAATGGGTGATTGCACAGGTCATTTTGGGTTGGGTCACGGTTTTGGGGGAGCTGAGAGATTCTCTCTCTTTCTCTCATCTCCTCAATTTCTTATTGGTCCTCCCTTTCTTTTACTGATTGGTACCTTATTTTCTTCCGTAAATCTGATTGGTTACCACTCCCACATGGTGGGAGTTTGAATTAATTTATAACTAAACTTTAAATAACAAATTTCAAACGTATGTAACTATACCGTTATAATCCGGACTCGCAAACTGATTTCGCCTATACGCTCGTCTGTAACTATCTATCTAACCGATGGTCAACGAAGGTTAAAATCTTTGCCTCAAGGGGCATTTCCATAAAATCACTAATTTAAAATTTTTTGAAACTTAAAATTAGGGACGGGTTATCACATCTATTTTTCTTTGTAAAAACTGAGAAAAATAAATAAAATGAAAAGGGAGTATTTTTTATTTAATTTATGTTTAATATGTAACATAACACACTCGTAGATACTAATAAGTAAAAAGTCTTAAATTCAACTTATATAAATGTTGAGTTTGATAATTATACGACTAACTCAAATTGTTTGACGATCTTTTTAGGGTAGTGCAATTCACAAGCTCCTCTTACCTTCCATGTATTCTTGTTAATTTTTATCCATTGATCTTAATTCGTTTAATTGGAGTGCCAAAAATTAAAAGAAGTGTATGAGAAGTAAAAATAGGCGTGGATAACATCAACTTTTTTTATTGGTCTTGGTGGGCCTGTAGGACATTGGGTTTCCATATTCTTGTAGGATTGTGAACAAAAAAATGCCGCGTATGTCCAATAGGAAAAAATTGAGAACCGACTAGGAAAAGGGGCATAAGAAAATTTCAAGAACCAAAACTTCAACAGAGCGACTGAATCGAGCGGAACCACTCCGGCGACCGAGTAGCAATTCAGGAAAGAGAAAATGGTATGCAAAGTTCATCTCTTTTCCCCAATCTCTATTAAATTAGGGTTTTTTATTCGTTATTGAAGCTATTGCAATATTAGCTTTTCTCGGGGTTTCTTTTCGAGTTAATTAATCTGAATTTTGTTAACTTACTGTCAAACGAAGTTTTCAATGTAAGATTAGGGTTCTAAAGTTTGAATTTTCACATTGAATATATCCAATTGTTGGAGTATTTGGATTTTAATTTTTAATTGTGCACAAATTTGATTCTGCTTTCGATTGTGATTATTTGAGAACCTACGATCGCATTGATTCATTACTGATAGTTTAAAAATTAATCTACAGTGTTGCTCGTCTAAGATTTTAGGTGACCCAATGAGCTCAAGAGGATTTTGTGGCGATGCTATTTCGATTTTTAAATGTATAGGATATATATAAAACATATGGTTCTTCAGGAAAGAAAAATTGGGATGTTGTTTTTTTCTAATGTATGTGATCGTTATGAAAGGACGGATACAAATACTTGGGCTTGAGATGAATCTTTTGTATTTTGGCAATTTGTATTTTTGTAATATTTAGGATTTTTTTTTCTTTCTGCTTGTTGATTTATTCAATCTGCTAATGTTTTACCTGGTTCTCTGCAGTCTACACTTGCAGCTGCTAGGGCAGACAACTTTTATTATCCCCCAGAATGGTCGCCAAAGAAGGTATGCTTCTGTTGTACTCCTGTTAGAGTATGCCATGGTGTGGTGGTTGGTCTATGGAGTTCTAATGTTGCTTTTTGCTTCAGGGTTCCTTGAACAAGTTCAATGGTCAACATGCTCTGAGGGAGAGAGCAAGGAAATTGGATCAGGGGATTTTGATTATAAGGTAACAATTCAAGCTCGTAAGTTACCTGTTTGTTAGATAGTCTAAATGTGTCTCAAGAAGCATTTTGTACTGTAAAGTTTTAATGTGGTTGAGTGACTTCCTCGTAATAGCTAATAACAAGAGATGAGATCTTTTTTCGTTTCTTTGTTATTATCTTACTAAACTGTTCACCAGTGAGAAGATTCTATGCGATACCTTTTGTGAGATTAAAGCCTTTTTAACAATGTGAATTCTTCATTCCTTCTTGTTTTAGTTTCATAAGTGATTTGATTATTGTGATGATAGTTTCACTTATGTCATTTTCCAATTTATGGCTCTGACAAGCTCTAAATGGAACATGGAAACTTAGTTACTTCGTTTTACTGATAACTTTACTTAGGATTTGTTTGAACTATTAATTACTTCTGCTGGTATATTATACTCTGTCGGAATTAATCTATTTGGAATAGTGTTTTTTGGTATAGTGCCTACTGTTTCACTGTTTGTAATATGTACAGACACTTGTATGTGAAATCTGTGGTTTGTACTGTACTCTACTTTAAGCATTTGCAGTTATGTGCTGTTTCGTGCAAACTAGGTTGAATGATATTCGGTAGTTTGGGTGGAAAATGGGAAATTTAATGAAATCTTGGCTAATATATGTGCATCATTCTGATAATTGATTGTCTTCTAAAAAATTCTGATAATTGATTGTAATACATTCAGGTTCGAGATGCCTTATCATATATGGTGCGGTGGTTGCAATTCTATGATTGCAAAGGGTGTTCGTTTTAATGCAGAAAAAAAGCAAGTTGGAAATTACTATTCTACAAAGGTATGTATTCCATCCAACTGGTGCCGATCCTTCTGACTTTTTCATTCAGAATTTACTTGGCTATTATTAGTTTTGCTACCCTTTGATCAATGGAAATCCATGTATTCATTATTTTAACACGCATAATGTCTTTTCTTACGACTTCCTTCTTCGTTCTTTCTTTCCGGTTTTAGTTAAATGCATTTATTAACGATCAGGGTTTACTTCCTGCCAGATATGGAGCTTTACCATGAAGTCTCCATGCTGCAAACAAGAGATTGTTATTCAGACAGATCCAAAGAATTGCAAATATGTGATTATTAGTGGGGCCACGCAGAAGAATGAGGAATTCGACATTGAGGATGCGGAAACCTTTGAACTTCCTGCTGATGAAGGTTGGTTTAGAAGTCGATGCAAATAGTGTTCTCTTTGGTGACTTTTATAATGGCTTATTGAAATTTTGAGCTTATTGTTCTCTAATTAAGTTAACTTGAACTCAACCAAAAAAGGAAGTAAAAGAAGGGGAGTGAATGGAGTACATTCACCGCTCTTTGTTAATGTCAGTTGTGTGATCAAAAGGGTTCAATTATTCTTCTAGAGATGTTGGACCACTTGCTGGATTCTTTTGATGTTTCCTTTTTCGCTCTCTTAGCAGAAGTGTTTTTTTTTTGTTCTCCAGAAAGAGGAAAGCTTGCAGATCCATTTTATCGACTTGAACACCAAGAAGAGGATTTGCAAAAGAAGAAAGAAGCTGAGCCAGTACTTGTTCGCCTACAGCGAATTTCTGATGACAGGCATTTAGATGACTACTCCCTCAACAAGGCCCTCAGAGCCAAACTTAGAGTATGTCACCTGATCATATTTAGTTCTTCACTTAAATGTTTTTCTCACACAGTATACATTGGTTGATATTAAAAAAGTCAAAATTATTACGTTTTACTTCACCTTTATGATTTATCTAACAGAGAGATGAAAAATGAATACATGGAGAGATGATTAGAAGTTTTTAGTCTGCCCTACCCATATTTCCTTATAAAGTATTTAGATCTAATTATGATTAGAAATCTCTCTTCTTCTGTGTGTGTTTGTGTGTGTGTGTGTGTGTGTGTGTGTGTATCATTCTCTTATGTCCTTTTCTGCCTCACAAGTGAAGTGCGGATGAACTGAACTTGAGTGTTGAATTTGGCATTACATAAAGGGCTTCCTCACTATTTACTATTGTTTTATTTCAGTCTCAAAAGAAAAGAGTTGCGGAAGAAGAGGCTACTTCAAGGAAGATGGGTCTCGGTATACGACTGCTTCCAGTGGCAGAGGAGGATGCTGCTGCTGCGTCACTTGTGAAGTTCGTTTCCAAGTTTGAAAAGAATCGGAAGAATAAGCAAGCACTAATCAACGCTGCTTCAATTTTTCCTGGCTCATCTGGGAGTTCTATGTCGAATAAGAAGAGTTTGGAACTACAATCTAAGAGAAGAAGAATAAGTGCTGGTGCTGCGTCCAACTTACTTACAGGGGGGTTCAAGCCATCATCGTGGTCTCAGAATTCGGTTTCTTCAGGCAAGCAAAATGGAACGTCAGTCAAAGTGAGACGCTTCTAGTCATCGAACACCATATGTGATTTCTACTTTTGGTTTGCCTCGTTGATTAGCCGACCCCACTTAGTGGGAAAAGGCTTTGTTGTTGTTGTTGTTGTTTGCCTCGTTGATATGGGCAATGGAGCATGTAAAATATGAACGCCCTTGTCTTTTCAGATTCTTTTGTTTTGGTTTTTCTTGTTACCATGTCCCTGGCCTTCGTTCTTCTCCTCTGTGCAGGAGATCTGGCTCGGTTTCGATAGTGTATGCGTGTATTTGGTGTTGTAAATAATCATATTTTAAGTAATGAAGTGAAACGGCTGCTAGGATACATTTTCTCCTACTGACAGTGATTTGTTAAAGGTAACCTTTTTATCTCGGGTAAAATAACTAATTAAATCAAGCATACATTTTCTGTTGAGGAATTTGGTTGATAATTTTCATACGAGAAGTGATTCTGGAATGTGCTTTTCCATTAAATTACTTGGGAAATCACTTCAGGTGATTAATGGAGAAGCGCCTCTTATGTGTTTCTTTTCGGAAATTTGATTCCGACCCCTCCCATAAACACTTACATCTTATGTGTTTCTTTTCGGAAATTTGATTCCGACCCCTCCCATAAACACTTACATACGGAACGTTGCCTTAGCTAAAACTAGGACAGAAAACTCGGTGTAAATGTAGTATTGAAAATCTGTCTGCTAGACTTATCATATATTTTGATGATCGGTGCTCGAAAAGTCTGACTAATTTATGTGAGAGCTTAACCTAAAAGACCCTTTGAAAATAAATCCACTGATCATCGATCGAGGTGTTCATGCATGCATTGTTGTTCATTATTCAGTTGACATAAGCTGCAGTTCCTGTACAGGAATCGTTTGTAAAAAGGCAAATGACTTTAATCATCGTGAGCTAAGGTAACTTTAATTTGCTTACATTAAGAAATGTGCACAAGAAATTAAAAGCATTTTCTGCTTCTGTAATTTGTAGTAAAAGAGAAACACAAGCATGGTTTGGTGCAGTACAACTGTGTGGCAGAGTAAGTTGTATATATATACAGAAAGAAAGAAGAAACCAATAATCCGGTATGATTAAATGTGTATCTAACTGTCACTGTGTGTAGTTGGTAATGCCAAGATCTTGTTTGGATTCCCTAGACTCACTCCTCTTTTTCATGGGCACGCCATTTTTCTACTCCTATCTTTTGAGGATATCTTTGTAGACATCAGAATTTTGATGAAATAAATATTCGCTAACGCATTAAAGTTTCAATATATCAAGGCATATGTGGTATGTGACATGTGTCGCACAAATTGTACACATAGCGTGTGACTCAACAAAATCAGACGAGTCATCAAGAATGACACATGTCAACCCTTGACGGAAGTGAATTATTTAATTTTAATTTAATTAAATCAAATGTTAACTGATGGAGTCAAATCACGAATCGATAACAAATCAAGTCTTGGTTCTTTCGTCAATTAATCAAGTCCACAATCAAGGCCAAATCCATCTATAGTCCAGGCTTGAAAAGTCTATAAATAGGAGGCTCCAAGACAGAAAATGATCCAGAAAATCATTCACACTCAAACGCTGAAACTTTGAAACTCTGCAGCTCTCATGCACTCAAACCCCCTAAACACTTAAACACTCAAGAAGACTCGGAAATTCCTTCGTGTTCTTTGTCAAATCCCGTGAAGAACCACCAAGCACCACTACACGTGCTGGTTCCTCCATTGCCAAGAGCCAAAACCTTGCGGCATTTGTTCATCCAAGATCGAGTCCTCGCGAACCTTGGATCAACAACACTACACATCTACACATTTTGGAGATCGAATTAGATGATCAAGTTGTAAAGAGATTGTAACCCTACAAATTCATTAATAAAAACATTTACTTTGTACACATGTTCTTGTCTCATTTGTTATAAGATTTTTGTGTTTACAATATTTTCTTGTTTATCCCAAGTCTATCAACGTATAGTATGTTAACTTAAATCCTCTTGCATTTTTCAGTGAACATCCAACCGTTAAATTTAACAAACTATTTTATACACCAACATACAATAGAAGTTTCAGAGTCTTCTCCTCTGATGCCATTGATGGACAACTGTTTAATCTAAAACAACTACGAACGTAGAGCCTACACGGGCCTAAGTCCACCAAACACTGCCATAAAATCACGCAAACAGATGAGTTTTGTAAAACCAAATCCAATCCAAGATACAATAAAATAAACCCTATATATGCAGAAAAAGAGAGACAGGAGTGGCAGCTCTCTATTACCACAAAGCCATCTTTTAGGGTTCTTTTCTCTCTCTCTCTCTCTCTCTCTCTCTCACTTTGTGCAGAAGTGCAGCTAGATAATTATAAGTACATACAGTCTCTTTCACTGTACCCATTGTTTGTTTTATGCTCATGGCGTTTGCTTGATTAGTTGGAGATGGAGGAACTGCCTGGTTTGGATCAGGCAAAGAGATCATTGCAAGTTTTGTAGCTAGGTCAGTGTACTAGAACCCTAATCATCCTGCAGACTGTCTTTCTTGGATGTTAATGCTTTAGCTCATTCTATATGCTGCGCCCCCCTAAAATTTAATTATTGAGTTTATATTTTCGCCATTACCTTTATTACAACCCGATATACTGTTTGTATTGTTATACATTCAATCGTACGTTTCTTTTGTCTTGTTTGAAAAATAGATTTAGCAATAGATATGCATGTGATAAATTAAGAATGAGAATTTGCTTCAAATCCCAATTGCTGGACTAGTGAAAGCTAATATCCATGCGATAAAAAACCGCCGACATAATGATAAGATATTGATGACTGTTAATTAAAAAACAAATACGTGTTAGCTGTTAATTAATTAACAGATAAATTCTGTCAAGACTAGAGTAAAATAAACGGTATACCGTTTAGGTTAGGTTGCTGAAGAGAGACAATTTGTCTTCAATTTGTCATCGATTACTTTTGTGAGCTTTATTGTCTTAATTTGTCATCGATTACTGTTTGTTGTTTTTGGATCCGAAATTCATGCAGATGCAGTAGTAGCTCTGGATGAAAGTAGTAGTAGTCAAGGCAGCTGGGTTTAAATGAATTGAACGAAAAAGCAGTGGTAAACCTGATCCAGACCATATATATATATAGCAGGTAGTATATAGCTAGGGGGAGTCTAGGCAGCAGAACTAACCACCCATAAACACTCAATATTGTCACATGAATACAAATTAATTGTTAGGATGAATGTGTATAATAAGGGAAATGATTTATGTACACGTTTTAATTCTCCTATGGTTTCTTCAATCTGAAGATCATAAATAAACAGAGGTGTGTAGGAGGAGAAAAATGGTGTGTGAAATCCACTTTTCATGTAACAAAGAAAGATGAAAAGTAACATATACGATCTTAGAGGTTCTCAATAAGCTTAGCTTTGGTGGAGAGGCAAGTTTAATTCATTGGTAGGTCAGGAATCTGAAAGCTAAATTATCACAAGAAAGATCAAGATCCCAAATGAAGATTAGCTAGAAAAAGGAGGTGAGAGAGAAAAAAAGAAGATAGTATATGCTAACCCCTCCCTTTACATTCATTTGTTTGGGGTACATGATGTACTGAAAGTTAAGAATATTGTAAAATTCAAGCTCACCAGAAAAAGAGAATATAACTCCCAAAGTGGAAAACACAGGCATACATGAAATTCCACAGAATAGTGGATCATCTCAAGAGAATTTAGCCACAATGCTCTCTGTGGAAAGAACAATTATCTCAGGACTCTTCCAGAGATACAAAAGCACACAGAAATCATGTGAATATAGTGATCATTCGTTGAAATATGAACGATCTAAACTATCATTTAACTGCGCAATTAAGTTCCAGCGTAAAAATATGAAGGTTCCAAGAAGAAATGATACTAAATTTTTTTATTGTGCTCATCATCAAGGGCCGAAAATAGTAATATGCAGACTTCTTCACTGATTGATGGTTAGATAGTTTCTTTCACCTCAACCAGTAGAGTAAATTGTAGCAACGGTCCCTTAATTTTAACTCAATTGAAGCAATGGTTCTTCAACTAAAAATCTATTAGTATTGGTCCCCTAACTCATCAAAACGTGCAGCTATAATCCCTCAACTAAAAATTCATTACCAATGGTCCCTCAACTTTAATCCAACTGGAGAAATGATTCCTCAACTTTAATCAAATTGAAGAAATTTTCCCTCAATTTTAACCTAATTGTAGCAATGGTCCTTCCAACATAACTCATTTTGACAAAATTTTGATGAATTTGACGAAAATGACTATAGCTACATATTTTGATGAGTTGAGGGACCAATGGTAATGTATTTTTAGTTGAGGGACCATTCCTCTAATTTGATTAAAGTTGAGGAACCATTACTATAATTTACTCCAACCAATATCCACTAAAAAATTAATTTGTAGGAGATATAGCATATCACAATTTGTACAGCAGTCTAAATATTTCCTAGAATAGCTAGGTCATGAAAATGCTGAAACAAAATTTATACTTTGTGAAAGCTTGAAAACACAAACAAAATAAATATATGGGTAGATAGGCACATTTAATTTATAGTAAATAAATTATGTACATATATAATGCTTTTCAATCTAGCTAGGCTACCCAGCAAACAAGAAAAAGTTAGCATAAACAGAACATTATACTGGATTCCTTTGAATTTGCAGCACTGTAATTAAACATATGCAACCAAAGTTAGGCTGGCATGTTATTTAGTTGCCCTAAAATCATTCCCAAAAACATAATAACGTTTAGACCTTTAACTTGATAAAATAGGGTGATAAACTATATTACTGAAACCTAGCTACTAGAACAAATGAATATCTAATCAAGTTGTTTTCATGACTACCTAGAACAGTTGGCTCTTATTCCGTGTATGCAAGAAAAACTATCATCATGGCATGGCGTCCATCCAAGCAGAAAGCACTCATCAACCTGTGATTCTCTCCGGAAGCTTATGGTTTTCATTACAGTATCTATGGGTGGGTAGGTTATATATTGCATAGGAGATCTATGAGTTGGGAAAGGAATATATGCCTATTATCATCTTAATGATTGTTATTTGCTGCAGGTTTGCTATACATAGAGAAATACATATCTAATGCAAAATAATATTTGAAATGTGGCATGCATATGGTACAGTTTACTCTTGTTTTCCAGTTTCATCTTATAAGTTATATGTTTATGTGTTTGTTCCTTTGAAATTTTAGGAAAAACTGAATTGTTGCAACACTATTTTCCAGTGATTGGATACTTGTATGTTAATGATCAATTAATATGTACTATATATGCTAGCATAATAATTCAGGAGAATTTATATTACGGAAAATCAAGACGATGGTCAGAAAATATAAAATCACAACGATGCTAGGCATAATATAAAATCTCCAATCAAATTATTATAGTACCTGACACTTTATTGGACTGATTTTTTATTTTTTTTTTATAATTTCAAGAAAATCACGACATCTCCACATTACAGTTGCCAACAATGCATTCGAATAAAGTTTAAAGGAACTCCTGAAATCATTTTTCTCGCACTTTCAAAGATACTAATACACTACTTCAATACAAATTACCAGTGAATTCGGATACTGAGCTTGATTAGCTATATATAGCAGGAGGAAGAGGAGGAGGTGCAAGAAGATTCGTTAATTTCCATTAAACTGGGGCTGCAGAGTAATTTAATTGATCACGAAATTGAATAGGTGGTAGAGTTATGGGTCTTGAGCCTTGATAAAGGTGGTGAGAAAAATTGAATTAGGGTTTTGCTCTTGTGTACCTTCCCCAAAAATTGATCTAGGGTTCTGTTGTTTTGGGTATGAGGTAGGGTTTTGCTCTACTTGCAGCACGTTACCTGTAATAATATTCTTGGTGTAGTTGATTGCTCCCCAATTCCCTGGAAAACCACAATCCTCGGAATTTGCTCCACTTGCCTCTGAAACATGTCGCCAAAAATCAAAATTCAACAACGATCTTTGTGCACCACCACAACCACTACTTGTTCTGCCCACAATTTTCTGACCATCGTTGCGACAATTAGTGCTCATCATCGTTGAGTTCATCATTCCAGCTGTTTCAAACAATTCATTAGGGTTTTGTTGTTCTTGATGCTTAGGACTTTGCTTTGTTAAATGTTGATGATCTTGATCAAACCCTCTGATCCTCATCATCTTCTCCCTTGTTCTCTCCCTTGCCCTTGCTCTTGCCTCCACCCTTGATTCCCTCGCAACCACGCACAACTTCCTGTTCCTTTTCTCTCTACCGAACCCAACGGAAATGTCACCGTTTGCATCACTACTACTAGGCTCCATAATTCTCGATGCGACTTCACCGGTAGTATTCTCAGATGAATTCACCTTTGCAGTTGCACCACCATTTGTGCTGTTGTAATCTTCCTTGGGTGAGACGAGGAGGTGCTGCTTGAGGTCCTTGATGGCGCTCTTGGACTTTGTGAAAAGCCACTCAATTGTTTTGCTGGCTTTGTCAAATCCCAACGTGTCTTGAAGATCAAAGAACTTACGGGCAATTTGGACGGACAGCCTCATTCTCCGGTCTCTCGGGCCTTGAGCTGTGTAGATCTTGCTGTGTCTGTCTTTTTTCCCACTCGCTCTCTTTCGAGCAACATTTGCCTTTTTCTCTCCTCCTCCTCCTCCTCCATTAATCTTCACATTATTTATCTTAATCTTTGAAGCTGCAGCCGTGTTAATGGTGAGCTCATTGCGACCATCTTCATAGTCACGATGGATAACCTCCATTGCTTTGTTTGAATTTGAAGCCGCGATGCTAATTTCAGTGCTCTCGTGAGCTCGAGTGGGGTTGTAATCAGTCGCTACATTAGTAGTAGTACTGAAGCTGCCAAGCAAGAGCTGCTGTTGAGATAGCAAGTAGCTCAAGAGCATTCCATCATGCTCAAGAAACTCAGGTGCCTGCTGCTGCTGGTCTTCAGAGTAGTAGTACTGTGAATAGTATTGATGATGGCCACCATGTGATAATATTGAATTAGGGTTTTGATGAAAATCATCAATAATAGCATTTGTCTGGTTGTCATCACATAGAAAAGGTAGCTGGAAATTACTTGTGGTGCTGCTAGAAGAAACCATGGATAATTGGCTATGACAAGTCTTTAGCTCCACAAAACCCTAAAGGTTGTGACGATGCATGACAAGTCTCATTTAATTCGGTGCTGCTTTGACCGCGCTGCTTTGACCGCCGGAAAAACAACACAAACAGTAGTAGTAAAGAGAAAGGGCAAGAAATAAATCGACTACTGTGCGGAAGCCCTGGAGGGTTACTGTTCTTCTACATGTATATTAAGAGAGCCTAAAAGGAAAGGACGCAGCTAGATATGAAAAGCCATAAAGAAAAACACAAGGTGCACAACCTGATGATAGCGATGGTGGTGTTTTGTTGTTGGTTTAGAGCTAAAACAAGACCTGGAAACTGGTATTTGCTTCACCATTAATCACTACATATTCAACCAACAAATGGTGACCTCCTCAACAGTTGAAGCACTGGGTTGAGAAAGAAGAAAGAAAGTGAGTGGAAATGAATGACCGGAAAGAAGACGGGGGACAGAGGAAGAGCATAGTTAAGATGATAGCTAGGTAAAGCTATATATACACACAGACACATACATATAAGGTAGACATCTAGCTAGTTGTGCAACTGATGATATCTCTTGAGTCTTAATTTGAACATGTAAGTGAACGGTGACACATCACGTGGGTGAGTGCAGGGGTGGGAGCAAGAAAGCGACCTAACCTAGCTATCCTTTTTCAGAATCCTCTGTGTTTGTGTGTATATAATTGTATGGTTTTCGATGAGAAATATATGAAAAGAAATTAACTTTCAATTCTGTAGCTTGTAAGTTGTTAAATACGTTTTATGTAAGTTGTTTTGAAGATTTTGATATTCTTCAAAAACTTATTCATACCTCTATGCGAATTTTTTGAGGGCTATGTATAGGTGCCCTAGAAAGAGAGAAAAAGAGAGATCGATGGAAAAGAGGACAATTATGATGAATGTAACAGTAAACACAGAGAGGAGAGGCTATAGGCTAATAGGCTACAGGTATTGTACCATATTTAGAGCCAGCTTCTTTTAATTACCACCATGGAAGGCAACTCTTGCCTTGACTGGCTTACCAAATGTCCCTATCATTGGACAAGGATTGTCTGCCTTTTCATTTCTAATGTTTTCCCGTGTCCTTCTATTTTATGTGGTCACGGTTAAGCCACGTCAACATTTTATATTATTTTTTTATAGAGATAATAAGACAAAAATGCATAGTAATATAAAATGTTAACGTGGTTTAACCGTGACCACACAAACAGGAGGGCACGAGAGCGCACCGGAAGTGGGAGGGCAGACAATCCTTGTCCCCTATCATTATCTGACTTGATTTAACATCTATATACAATGTTTTAACAACCAAATCTATATACAATGTTCTTTCAATGTTAAAACAATAGGATTAATTGCATTTTACACCATAATGTTTGGAGATTATTTGCAAAATGAATCACGACGTTTCAATATTTGTGTCTTACACCACTTAGTTTTTTAATTGCACTAATTTAACATCTTCATCAATTTCATTGTCTAATTAGACAATTAGTGCTGAAGTAGCATAAACATGACCCACATTTTAAGTACTCATTGACCGTCAATTTGAATGTTTAGCATTTTACTCTTTCAATTCTTTTTAGACATTAATATTAACGTGTGCTTGCCACTCAGTACTATGGTCTAATGATATTCCTCTTAGCTTAGAAATGAGAGATCTTAGGTTTGAATCTTGTAAATGACGAATTCGATACCAAATTAAGCTGCCCATTGGTCACATCCCAACCCAGGGTCCACCATATCCCGGGCTTGACTCCGTCGTAGCGCAATATTGTCCGCTTTAGGCCCCGACCACGCCCTTACGGTTTTGTTTCTTGGAACTCATGCGAGCAGAACTTCCCAATGGATCACCCATATTGGGAATGCTCTAGCACATTTCTCGCTTAACTTCGGAGTTCCTACGGAACCCAAAACCAGCGAGCTCCTAAAAAGCCTCGTGCTAATGAAGGTGGGCATGTACATATAAGGCATAGAGGATCCACTCCCCTGGGCGATGTGGGATCTAATAATCCACCACCCTTAGGGGCCCGACGTCCTCATCGGCACACTTTCGACCAAGGATTGGCTCTGATACCAAATTGTCACATCCTGACCCGGGGTCCACCACATCCTGGGCTCGACTCCGCCGTATGACGATATTGTCCACTTTGGGCCCCGATCACACCCTCACGGTTTTGTTTATGGGAACTCACGCGAGCAGAATTTTTAGTGGGTCACCCATCTTGGGAATGCTTTTACCCCTTTCTCGCTTAACTTCAGAGTTCTTATGGAACTCGAAGCCAATGAGCTCCCAAAATGCCTCGTGCTAATAGAGGTGGGCATGTACATATAAGGCATAGATGATCCACTCCCCTAGGTGATGTGTTAGACTCCGCCGTAGCACGATATTGTCAACTTTGGGCCCAGAGCACGCCCTCACGGTTTTGTTTCTGGGAACTCACGCGAGCAGAACTTCCCAATGAGTCACCCATCCTATGAATGCTCTGGCCCCCTTCTCGCTTAACTTTGGAGTTCCTACGGAACCCGAAGCCAGTGAGTTCCCAAAAGGCCTCGTCCTAATGAAGGTAGGCATATACATATATGGCATAGAGGATCCACTCCCCTAGGCGATGTGGGATCTAACACCATTGTGTGCCTTTGCCAAACTTCTCATCCCCTTAGTGTAAAAATATCGATATACTAAAAAAAAATATTAACGTGTGCTTAAAATGTGAGCCCAGTCTAGGTCACATGAGCACTTAAATTCTAATTAGACGATTAAATTTACAAAGAGGTTAAATTGATGCAATTCAGAAATCACATGGTGTAATACAAAAATTGAAACATCATGACTAATTTTTCAAATGACTTCCAAACTTTGTGGTGTAACATATTAAACCATAATTTCTTTCCATTTTCAATAAACAAGAAAAATCGCTTGTTACTACTCCAATTAATCTTCTTCATGTCACGTAAATAAAAGAACAGCTTTTTATTTATGTCTATTTTTCACTGAAAATCAAAGTTGAATAACAAGTTTTTGCAACCCTTGTTCTTTTAGAAAACACTTGCGTGGTCTTGTTATCCCTAAAATTTGTGTTAGGAGTGTGCACGTAGCTTAAAGTAATCTTTTCATCTTACATTGTTTTGCATTTCTTTTTTAAGTTAACTAACTAAACCCCTAAAAAAAAAACTAACTAAACCCCAAACCATTATCTTTTTTTTATTTCTATCATGAGTACTTTCATAAAAAAAAAATATCGAGAGAATATCAGTAATTTAAAGTTATCTCTTCTAGTTATCGTATTTGTTAATGTTGGACACTTTTAGGCGCACAAACAGGTGATGGCCTGGAAAGAAGCCACGAAGAGCCCAAAGCAAAGTCAAAGCTTAAGAGATACAAAAGGCCAAAGTCCAAGGGGCTTAGAAAAGAATATGTTCGAGCATCGAAAGTCAACTGCCTGGAAAACACCGACTGACCAGGGTTTATGAAGGGCTTGTTGACTGCCAAAAGCATGTGGGCAGACTGACAACTTTATGGCACAAGTCTCTAATACATCAATCAAGCCACTTGGCGACCCAAAGTTAGCAATAGGGACCCAGGATAAGGACATAAAGTGGGCCAGAACACACTCAAACAGACTGGGTTCGATAACCGAGGTCGACCGTGAAGTTTTCATTGGGAATGCGTGCTATCTTCATTGGACACCCATCACTTAATCGCTGAATGTTTGGTTGGCAAGTGTAAAGGTGTTAGTAAACTAGTCTACGTATATAGGCGGCACACTGAATGCCAAGTAGGAAGAACCCAAGGGTGAGGGATTCACCAAGGGCCTATGTAAAGGGGGTGAAACCCTCTAACATGGGGGTTGGACGAAAAAAAAAGTGAGAGAATTAATGTATTAGCCGAGCGCGATTTTAGTCTTGTAATTAATAGAATTTGTGCTACACAGTGGATGTAGCCCAGTTTTGAGGAGTGAACCACTTAAATCTTTATGTCCATTTCATTACAATTCACATCTCAAGCCCATCAAAGATTTAGTATTCTAGTTTGTTAACCTGCAAATTTTGAGCGTTCACAATATGTTTATTAAAAATGAATAATAATTTGAGGATCACAAGTCACATACAATATCAAATAGAACTAAGAATTTTCAAGGGTTGGTAAAAAATTATATGGAAGCTATGTACTAATACAAGGTTTCCGAGAAATTATGTGGAAGCTTAATTATTACTGGTATCAAGAAAATGAATTGTTATTAGCACTTCAAAATCTCATTATGCACAAATACAATGTTTTAAACTCCCTTCACGCATTCTTAATTTTTCAAACTCGGGATTTTTTATTTTCTTTTTTTTTTAAAGAAAGGGACATGCGAGTTCTTGTCACAATTTAATGGCGATGGCCTATTAATTGCATTAGAGCATTTCCACCTCTAAAAAGCCTCGGGCAATAGCCAATTCAATCCAACCAAGTGAATAGTAACGACTTTTAAGTGAACAGTAACTGCCCAAGTTGTGACGACCCATCCCTAATTTTTTATGTAATTTTCTCCCCGTGTATGTGAATTGACATTTGTGCCCTTATTGGCAAAGTGACATGGACATGGTATTTAGGCTTTAAATTATTTTTCTCGTTATCGTAATTAAATTTACCCGTTGTTAACACACTTTAACGTAATATAACTTTTTCGTTACAAGTCTGATTCGAGCCTAACTCACGCATGGTTTTTTGGCTTTAAATTATTTTTCTCGTTATCATAATTAAATAGTACTCGTTGTTACGAATGCTTGGGCGCGAGTTAGGCTCGAATCGGATTTGTACGAAAAAGTTACGTTACGTTAAAGTGTGTTAACAACGGGTAAATTTGTACACGTGAGTACTAATATTACAGTGTTGGAAACATTGTTTTCAATAGGGTACGTTCGATTATGTTAGATTTCTTTTGACTTCATTTGTACAAAATCCTATCATTTTTCTTCTTTCAAATTGGAA